TTTGGTATCAACTAATTCAAATTTAGTTAGCATTGAACTTTTCCAACATCTATTACTATGCTCCTACTTAATATTATCAAAGTTTAAAGTTACTAATTTAGTTATTATATATGAAGGGAGAGAGTGAGAGACACACACGTAACACACAATATATGCATTGTCTCAATTCATTCATCATTCATTTTTTGTTTGAAAGCCAAAACGATCAGATTGCATTAGCCACCAAGGGCTGAATAAAAGTAGGAGGAAAATCCCTCCATACTGAACGACCTGCTAACGCAAACAAATGTTTAGACAGGGCATGAGCCACCTGATTGGACTCTCTGTTAACAAACGAGACACTAGTTCCTGGCATAGCATTAATTAAACGAATACATGACAATAACACTAAACCGAAATAATTACGAAACGAACCAACATTCTTCAAATTCGAGACCAAAACTGATGAATCCGTGTAAAGGCTTCCACCTGAAAACCCATTGTCCTTCAACCAAGAAAGGGCTTCGCATAATGCCATAACTTCCGCCAAGGGGGATCATAAGGACATGCTAACGGGCCATTAGCCGCTGCCACATAAGTGGAGACGGCATTGTACACAACAAAACCAAACATTCATCATTCATTTAGTTATTTAATTTGTTTTACATCATTGTCAACCTTCCTATAACTTAATATAACAATGAAAATCTCCCATGATTGATATATTCAACCCCTACAAAGGCTACTCACAAGAAAACATATGCTAGGTCCCAAAATTAGCTGGTTGAATAGATAGAACATAATTATCGTACCTAAAAATTACGAATTCGATAATAGCTAATATTATCTCCTGTGTTGTTTGCGCTCGAAAGTCATGAATAAAATTCAATTCCTAACAACACCATCTCCTGTGGATAGTAGAGTTTATCAACGAATCAACTTTGTATAGTCGTTGAACATTGAAACCACTAATAATTAGTGCCTTTAAAATAATACTCCGTAATATGTTAAGAACGATAAATTATATTCACAATCATTTTATTAAATTAAAATTATGTTAGATTTAAGTTCTTATAAGTTTTATTTTGTTAAAGATAGATATGAAATGCACAGATCTATTGGACGTGCAAGTTATACAAATGCAGATCACTTTTCTATTTTTTTTTTTCCTCTCAAAATTATGCCAAAAAACTCATTTATAAAACAACAGTGTCCATTCTCTTTCCTCTCTCTGCCCTCCCCCCTTTCTCCTCTTACAAAAAAAGAACTTTGACAAAAATTATAAAATAAAAACACCAATAATGATACTCTTATTCACATTATAATCTTATTTTTAAACAAGTCAAATTCCTTTAATTTTACTGGAGACATCACTTTAGGTGTTAATTAAGTGTTGAAATGAGTTAATGAGCATGGAAGTGGGCATATATATGATCGAGGACATGTCAAAGTTGGCCAACTACACATTCGATCAAAGTGCGACATGGTCCAACACTGTAGCCTTTACAATAAGGACAAGTGTCCTCCTCGACTTTAATTTTGACCATTATGCCATTCCCATTTCCCAATATAATTGGGATAGAATCAGATTCAACTAACCCGCCCTAACTGTTCCAATCAGATGCTGTTCAACTGCCTTTTCCCAACTCACTTTTCATCTCCACTATATTTTCCCAACTATATAACATACTTAATATAAACTAATTTATTCAACTACTTTAAGAGTTTAAGCTTCAATTTCCGTACAGTTTGGTTCCAATCAACAAATTAAACCAACCCTGTCTTACTGCTAGTATGCCTACTGTACGTATCGCTGTATATATAAATATATGCATCGTATAGTATTTTATATGATGTACAAAATTTTAAATTGAGTAACGTGGGTTACAAATTTCACTAGCTTCAGAATTCAACATGTTCTACATGTAGATAGATGTACTAATCGAAGTGGTGTCTAATCTTGTTTTTCAATTTTTTTTTTTTTTTTTTTTTTAGCATACTAAAAAAGTTAATAATTCTATATGAGTTAATACCCAAAATCGTCATCGACTATAATGGTTTTTCTCAATTTCGTCCTAAACGACTTTGGTGACCTAATATCGTCCCAGACTTTTGTGTTTCGCTCAATTTAGTCCTCCATTTGTTATTCCATCAAATTGGTGTTAAATAAAGGGACAATTCAGTAATGTCAATATTGATCTCTCTTTACTTTCAACTTGTGAAGTGCGAAATTCCTTTTTCTTGTACGAATTACACCCAGAATTACTCCCAGACATGCAAATCAAATTTTATATTCGCAGTTTTAGGAGTAATTCTGGAAGTAATTCATAAAAAAAAGGGATTTCGCAGTTCACATGTCTATGAGTAAAGATATGTCAATATTAAAATTACTGAATTGTCTATTTATTTAACACCAAATGGACAGAATAACAAATGAGGGACTAAATTGAGCAAAAACACAAAAGTCTGGGACTAAATTGAGCGAAACACAAAAGTCTGGGACGATATTAGGTCACCAAAGTCGTTTAGGACGAAGTTGAGAAAAACCACTATAGTCGAGGACGATTTTGGGTATTAACTCAATTCTATATTGAGTTGATACCCAAAATGGTCTTCCACTATATTAATTTTTCTCAATTTCGTCCTAAACAACTTTGGTGACCTAATGTAGTCCCAGACTTTTGTGTTTTTACTCAATTTAGTCATCCATTTGTTATTCCGTCCATTTGCTGTTAAATAAAGAGATAATTCAGTAATCTCAATATTGACCTCTCTTTACTCTCAGCCCTACGAAGTGCGAAATGTCTCTTTCTTTTATGAATTACTCCCAGAATTATACGCAGACCTGCGAATCAATTTATATTCGCAGGTTTGGGAGTATTCGTATAAGAAAGATGGATTTCACACTTCGTAGGTTTATGAGTAAAGAGATTCCAATATTGAAATTACTGAATTGTCCATCTATTTAACACCAAATGGACAGAATAACAAATGGAGGACTAAATTGAGTAAAAACACAAAAATCTAAGACTACATTAAGTTACCAAAATCGTTTAGAACGAAATTGAGAAAAACCATTATAGTCAATGGCCATTTTTAATATTAACTCATTCTATATTCTACGAAGCTAGAAATGACTATCCTTCTGTAAAATGAATAACTAATTCCTAAAAGATATACTTCTAAGAATAGAAATCAAATTAAACAATAAAATAAATCTACTAATACTCTCCGGATCAAAATCTAGCTAATCTCAATAATATTATTCTATTACTGACCTATTCGACCAACCAAACGTAACATAATTTCCTTATTAATTTCCAAGGCAAGCAATGAATTATTGATTTAATCGATTGGGCGGGAGTTGGTGAAGGGCTAAGTCGAACACCTTGTCTATATATATAAACAAAATTTCAAAAACATATAAATGTTTATATATATATAATTTGAAAACAATGAAATTTATAATTTTACAAAACAATCCCAACCATAAACTAGTACGAAACTAGCACAAAAAGATTTAATTTTTAGAAAATTAATCCAACCAAAACTTGGTACGAAACAAAAATTTATTTATACAAAGATAAATAAAACGAGAAAGGGTTTTATAATATGAGATTGTAAATCCAACAGAGAAGAATGATGAAATTCGAGTCGTGTGTAGTACACACTTTCATAAAAATCGATTCTTTACCTCCCGAGAGTGCTAGGAGTGTTGTAGCGTTAGTCTCATAGGATAAAACGGATTACGACTTAATGTTTGAGCACTCAAACAAAAGTCCAACGAACAAGAACAACAGGCGAGCACTTCTTCTTTTGCCGGATGTGTTGACAGAACTTTTCGTAAGAAAAATATTTGAGAGAGAGGGAGAGAACAAAACAAAATTTTGAGGTTCTCAAATCAACAGCTAAACGCAGTTTAAAGTTGTCAGGCTCATTTTGGGATTTGATTTGCACTTGGTAAGCTTTCTGTCGACTTTTCAGGCTCATTTTGGAATTTAATTTGCACCACCCTTTCGCATGAGAGAAAGCGTCTATGCTATACAATTCAAGCTCCTTCTAAAAAGCTCTATGCATATAATGGTGCAAACTCACTTCCCAAACCAATGCGGGACAAGTGTTTTTTACAAGTCTTTCCACATTCATTTTTTAACTCGAATGGGTCTACTTTGAAAATCAATTTCTCATTCACCCTGATGTAGTATATACGAATATTATCAGCTACGAGATATGGTTCTAGGGTCGGTTCCGGGCTCGGACCCCTTGCCTAGTCTACTTGTTGGTTTAAGTGTTAGAGCTCGGAGTACTTGACGGTGGGTCGAAGGCTCCTGATGAGCTAAGAGCTAGCGCTTAGAAGTAGCCCAAAAGTCCCCCTCTCAGTAATAAATGCGGTATTTATAGCTTAGAGGAGGGAACAAGTTATGGTTTCCCAGCATGGATGGCATGTGGAACCCATGCACAGGCTCCGGTGGAGGCCAAATGGGTCTTGTACAGATGCCTTGATAATGTTTCTAAGGGTAAGGCGTCCTGTTGTTGGGTCCAGATCAGTAGTTCGGCCCCGACCTAGATAGGTCGGGTAGCTGGTGATTGTTGGGGCGCCCGCGTATACGCGATTATAGGAGCTCGGCAGTTGAGAGGGTTGGGTAGAATGAGAGAAACGGTTTGTACAAGTTGGACCATGCTCACCTCACGTAGGGGGTCCCGCACCAACCATCGTACTGCGTGACTACCGAGAAATAATACACATCAAATTCATTGTCCGTTTTGAGTGTACAATATATCAATTTATTCATCTCACTAGAAAAAGTGTGAATCTACTTTGATCCGACCCAAATCGAAAATAAACCACACATATATTTATACCACAAAATCATGACTTACATGCCATTTTATGCTAAAATTTCAAATAATTATAGCTTCTAGCATAATTATATGCTATTAATCCTAACAGGCAACACAATCTAACCCCTAATCTAATTATTAAATATCCACAACTCCACAAGTCCTCATATTTAGACCAAACACCACTCCAAACAACTCCAACATCTTCTAATTTCTAACTAAATTTCCCAGGAAAGTCTAAGAAAACATATTCAACGCGGTTTATTTAACCGACGACCAAAACCACCCAGAGACTTCCATTTAGGCCACCAGCCATCCAGCACAGTCCAAACACTTAGATATATAAAAGCTAAGGAACACAGTAGACTCTATAAATACATACACAATAATTATCTCCAAACGCCTCTCAATTCTTGGCTTTTTCCATAACCAAAAAGCAAACAGGGGAGCTCTGAGAACACTATCCCTAGCTAGCTATGGCTACGAGGATCAAATTCGCCGCGTTTGTTGTACTCTTAGCCGCCGTCTTGGCGACGACGTTGCCTGAGACAACTAACGCCGCCGTTCATGTCGTCGGCGACGCCACGGGATGGACTGTGCCTCCCAGCACTTCCACCTACGCCACCTGGGCCTCCGGAAAGACCATTAAAGTCGGTGACACTTTAGGTAAATAATATATATATATATATATATATATATATATATATATATATATATATATATATATATATATATATATATATATATATATATATATATATATATATATATATATATATATATAAATGGTTTTCCCTTTTTGTTAATTGAGTTTTAAATTTTAAACATCTCTTTGCTCTTTTGTGATCATTAATTTTTAGTTTTGTACTGTAGTTTCTATAGAAACCTTGATATCTAGCTAGACCATATAGAGACCATGATTTTATTTTTTATTTTTTATTTTTTTTTTATGCATTAAAAGGTTACAGATTGAACTTATGAACCTCGGATTGCAGATTAGTGCTGCTAAAGTTTGTGTCAAATTATTTATTTGTAAAATAATAATTTTTTTGACTTTTAATTCCTCCATATTTCAATATTCAAGATCATAAGACTCAAGAGTCAAGACGTATGATATTATTAATTTTGTAAAAAGAAGATTATAAATAATATTTCATGGTTATTGCGCTATAAAGTTTGAAAGTTGTATGGAAATTAGTTTTGGGATTTTTTTTTTTTTTTTTTTTTGTGTGTATCTCAGTATGACGTGTAATCGGTTAATGGAAGTTTTTAAAGGTTTAACCGTTAAGCGAACTAAATTTCGTATTTACCAATTAATCAAACTGAAATACAATTAACCCAAGTTTTTTAAGTTAAAGTTCTAAATTTTTAAAATAATACCTATAATAATAAATCCATAAGAAAATATATAAACACAATACCATAACAACACTACAAACATAAAAGCACAAGTTATAAAGTCCAAACATCCACACACACACACACACACACACACACACACATATATATATATATATATATATATATATATATATATATATAATTTTGAGTAACCATTCGTTTAATTTGGTTATTCGATAATTTCAAACCAAATTAAATGTTAACCGAAATTTTACAAATCTTTTAACTATAACCAAACAGAAGTTTTTCGACTAAAGAACGATTAACCGAAATTTACACACCTCTATATCTCAGCGTTTCTACGGTCGAATACAGTGATGTTAAATTCTTAAGATATAGGAAATTTTTTGATTTGTTGTTCCGTGTCAATTATATATTGTGTGCTTGAGTTGGTATTTAGAATTTGAAATAAGAGTGTAAATGTGATAGGTAAAAATGTAAAATGTGTTATTTAGCTTTACTTTTTATGAGTTTATAGAAAAGTAGTCCGCATTATTTATGCCAAAGATGATTAATTTCTAAATGTTCTATTTTTGTATTTTGGGACAGTGTTCAACTTTCCTAGTGGGGTACATGATGTGGCTAAGGTAACAAAGAGCGCATATGATAATTGCAACACTACAAGTCCGATTTCACTTTTTACAGTCGGACCAGCCAATGTGACTCTGAATTCCAGTGGAGAAGAATACTTCATTTGCACCTTTGGTCAGCATTGCCCATTGGGCCAAAAACTTGCTATCAATGTTTCTGCTGCCTCCCCACCTCCCTCTCCTACTCCTGCCCCTACTCCCCGCCCGACCCCGACCCCAACCCCGACCCCGACACCAACTCCAAAACCAAGCCCGACCCCGGCACCTACCCCGAAGCCAAGCCCGGGGCCGTCTCCGTCCTCGACTCCAACTCCAACTCCAAGTTCAAGCCCAAGTCCTTCATCACCTGGGCCTTCAGGTCAGGCACCGTCTTCTCCTACCCCTAGTGGAGGTACCCCTGGAGGTCCACCGGCACCAGTACCGGCGGCCAACACTCCCGGGGGAACACCCACGGCGCCGCCACCGCCTAGCTCTGCTCCCACAGCTAGTGTTGTTGCCACTTCTCTTGTTGTGGCCATGTCAATTGCCATTGGTGTTATCGTGTGCTAAATAATTTGTAGTCCGGTATAGAGAATTTTGTGTACGTGTTAGTGATGTCATTATTGAGTTTGTACTTTATTAGTTACACAGACAGACAGTTCATGCGTGCACAGTCATCTTTGTTTTTATTATTACTTTGATTGGCTAGTGAGAGAGCTACTGATTGTTGTTTGTTGATCAATAAAAGGTGTTATGTTTTCAATTTTGATTAGAATTTCTGCTAATTTAATTGCCATCTATTTTTTTTTAGAAAACATGTGATCAGGTGCAGGTGAGAAGGCTTTAATCACCATTCACCACATTGAAAACAACTAATTAACACATATAAGTAAAATAAGTAATTGAAAACAATTAAACATGTATATAAGTAAAAAATAGGAGTATAAAATTATATTTATAGTGAAAAGTCAAGTGTTCGGGAAGATAGAGATAACTTATAGAGGTAGAGAAAACAACTATGAGCTCAACATCAACATATCTCATGCCTAAGTTGAGTACAAAATTGAATAGAGATAGCAACATTATTGTTTTTTTTTTTAAAAAAAAAATTTGGTACGTCTGAGGGACTCAAAGATCTTAGATTAGTAAATTCTTCAAGTGACAAAACCTTTGGCATCCTTCTCCAACAAACCCTTAATTATCTCTGGGGGGTTGCTTCAGAATTATCGTTCCCAGTCCATAAATTGATCAAAGACTGGTCAAATAATCAACGCATTGATTCCCTTCTCGAAGAACATGGACAAAATCAATGTCCTGAATCTGATTCATAATGAATCTGCAGTCCGTGATCAATGTGTCAGCTTCTGGCCTAGACTCGCTCTCTTTCCTAATGGCTTGGAGGACAGACACGAGTCAATATTATTGCTTTTAGTTGAGCTTATACATTGCCGTTAGATGCTTTCAATGTGAAGCTATGTAGGTATATATAGTTGGGGGTTAAATTAAATAATGGCAATTCAAGTATTTAAAAAAATTATAATTTGTTAGGAATAGTTTAATACCAAAGACTTCTCTGAAATAGTTATAACAAATGGTGGAATCTAATAATTAAGTCTATTTTTGGAGATGTTGTATTCCATTTTGAACATATTTCACAAACTAAACTTGTTGTTAAATTAAGGTTTAACTTTAAAAAAAAAAATACTTGTATAATTATAATTTTTTTTATAAAATAAATATAAGGTTGTTTAATATTTATTTAGGTTTAATTTAATTGTTTTAGAGGAGACTTTGACTCATAATGAGTAGGCATTGTCATGGAATGGTCTACTTGGGTGGCGTGACTTATTAGTGATTCATAAACTAAGTTGTCACATGTTGACTTAATGGTCTAGAATTGGTACTAGCTAATATTTTTAGTTGCTTAGAAATAATTATAAAAAGAAAAATACAAAGTCACTTAAATATAAAGTTCAATTTTAAATTGAATATAAATGCATATATATATTTACAATAGTTTAACATTAGAAGATAGTGATGGTTGAGTTTTGGTCTTCAACTCTTGTTGAAGTTTAAAGGTGAAGTATAATGGAGATATCCTAATTGGAGTTATAAAAAAGGCATTCATAAAGACTATAACATATAAAGAGTTAATTACCAAAATGGTCCCTTAACTATAGCGAAATTATCAATATAATCCTTAGTTTGACCGTTAGTCAACCGTTAACTTGGGACCAAATTGGTAATTTCGCTATAGTCAAAGGACCATTTTAGTAATTAACTTTAGGGGTGGGCAATTCAGTTTAGTTTTCTCGAACTGAACCGTACCAAACCGAACTGAACTAATTTGGTTCGGTAATATACCGAACAACCGAACGATATTGGATTCTTGTATACCGAACGATTCGATAAAAAACCGATCCGAATTGTTCGGTAAAAAATTGAATTAAACCGAATACTGTTTGATTTTAATAATAATAATAATAATAATAATAATAATAATAAATAAATAAATAAATAAAAAGTAAATCCAAGTCCCTTACTGCTTGGCTGCTTGCTCTACCGTTCAGTTCATATTCTCACGTGTATCTCTCGTAAATGTTTTATTTAATTTCTTTATGGTTTGTTATCAAAAGTTCTATATTATGTGTTATATGTGTTTACATAGTCCATATCCAAAGACTAATATATAACAAAATAGCAATCCAAAGTTCAAACGGTATTCGGTTCGGTTCGGTTTTTACCGTACAAATTCAGTTCGGTTCGAGTTTTTACCGAATAGTTCCGTATACAAGAATTTATTATCGTTCGGTTGTTCGGTATATTATCGAATCTAACTAGTTTGGTACGGTTCAGTTCGAGAAAACTGAACCCAATTGTCCACCCTTAAAATTAATTACCAAAATGGTCATTTGACTATAGTAAATTACCAATTTGGTCTCAAGTTAACGGTTGACTAACGGTCAAACGGATGATCAAATTGGTTAAAATTTTTAAAGTTGAGGGACTTAATTGGTCAAAAAAATAATCAAGGACTAAATTGGTAATTTTCTTATAGTCAAGGAACCATTTCAGTAATTAACTAACATATAAATTTCCATTCAAATATATACTTCGCTTAGGGGTACGTAAATAATTTAGAGAATCAATGACATAAATGCATCTTGAGTTTTAAACTACTAAAATTCTTTCAGTGGAGTAATAACAAGATATGAAGTTTTTTGTTGAAGTCAAAGAAATGTTTTGCGCTTTGGAGAGTTGTGTTATTCAATACGATGTAATGAAGACTTTTTTTTTTTTCTTCTTCTTCTTTGAAGAATGGATGGAATGAAGACTTAACTAAAGAAGTCATTTAAACAAATTTAGTTGTTGTGACCTCTCATCCCTTAAAAAAGAGGTTGAGAGTTCAAACCTCTTTCTATATAGAAAAATCAATTGAACCGGTCCCGTGCGAACAAAGCGACATCAAGTATCCTTTTTCCCCTCTCTTCTCAATTCTCTTTAAATCTTAGCACTACCGACTTCTTAATGAGAGCACCATTGACACAACACTCAAAATAAATTAAAACTTTAACTAAACCATAAAACCTAGCTCAAAAGTGAAGATTTAACCCAACTTAAGTATCACTTGGTGTTTTAGAAAATGCACAGAAAGCAGATACCATAGATGGGTTAGGAAGAGAAGCAGCAAAGAGCACAGACATTTTTCTCTTTTTTTTTTTTCCCCTCAAAAATTTTATAATACAACAAAATGCCATTGTTTACAGACCTGGCCTTCTCATTTGGCCAAATGAAATGGCAGAAAGTTGGATCCATCTTACCAGAAAATTTGCCCATCATCTCCATTTTCACGAAAGGGCATCTTTCGCTTCCTAAGAAAGGATTCTACTTTCTGAACTTTACCCTCCCTGTTTCGCCAACTCTCATGCATTACAGAGAGATGAGTGGCAGGTTCAGCCCCGAGGAAGCAAGCCTCCCTGCCTTGGATGGTAGGTTTACCACTGAACTTTCCTCTTGCTCGAGAATCATCATGAGGCATCACCTTATGGCAACTGCTAGCCGAAGCCTTTCCACAAAGCGGGGCATGGCCATGGTCTGAAGACATACCTAACCTCAGCGATAAATCACACTCCACCTGAGATCTCCCCCTTAGATCTGATGCTGCATCTTCATCAAGACTGGAGTGGAATAAGCTTGGAAAGCGGTCGATTTGTGCAGGCTCTGCATTTGATGGATAAACAGGCCTGCCAACAATCACATTGCTTTGCAGTTCCTGGAAGCCCAACTGGGCAACTTCAGGCTGGAAGTTGGTGCCATAGTACAAGGGAAATACAGAACCCAAGTTCAAAGATGCATTACTTTCTGCTTGAACTTGAACAATCTGGCTAAATGCAGCCAATGAAGCATTAGGTTTGTTAATGTTCCCACATTCAGGTCTCCCAAATGTTGGTTGGCTCACAAACTGGGGAGACATTAAGTTAGAGTTATGCTCATTGGAACTGCCACTAAAATGTGTGGGAGGGACAGGATGCTGAGGTCTTGGGCTAAGGTAGTTTCTTGGATTATTGTTCCTCTGGCTCCTAGTGGGTTTTTCAGCAACACAGCCCAGGTTAAGAGCAGCTGAAGAACAACAAAAGTCAATGCCAAAACAAACACATATATATTACATGTCTCACTAAGAATATATAGACTCTGTTTAGCATAACTATCTTAAAACCCAGCTTTAAGACTGAAAGTAACTTTAAGTAACTTTTACCTTTATTTGTAGCTTAAAATAAGGAATAAGCTCTAAAATAAGAGTTACCAAACAGAGTCTATAATGCTGTAACTAAGTTAATGCAAGAACAGTATTAGTACCTTCAACGCAAGGAGGCAAATGCTGCCCAGTCTCTGAGCTTTCATCACTCCGAATTATTGTACTAATGGCATCATTAACCCTATCCCAGAGTGTGTCAGGATCAGCATACTCCGCCTGGGAAATGGAGAGAAAACACATCAGCATTTTAGCAAGCATGTTGAGCGCATCTAAGCCAACCCTGCAAGGAAGGAATGAAAGAGGGCAACGAGCAAACCTCAGAATTGGCTTTGGAGTACATAATTTCCTCCGCCCTCAACACCACAATTGGAAGCTTCACCTGCCATTCCCTGTTCTTCTTAGTAGCAGTGCTGTGCCTCTCATACACAAATCTGATCAAACAGTTGGTGGGCATTGAGCAACGAAACCAAAAAAACAAAAAAGAATCAAGAAACGAAGACCCATTACCTCAAAATCCGATGAATGATCGAGCCTCTGATGGGCTTGTGAATATCGCTATGCCACGCCCTCCTCACACACTCGTAAGGTCTAGGTCCAGGCCGAGGCATCTTCTTCTTTCTCAGCTCCCAAACACAGTGCGGTGAAGCAGAACAAAGAGGAGAGGAGAGAATGAATTTACATTAGAAATGATGGAGAGATGACGGGCGGAGGAGAAATGTGGTGCTTTATGAAGAAAGCAATCTCTCTCTCTCTCTCTCACTCACTCTTTACATGGGTAATATGATATGCGCTAAAGATGGGTTCCAAATACTTGCTCTCACTCCCTTTGCTCCCTACCACCACTTTCAAGTCCCCGTCTAGTTGCTGTACTTCAGAGAGAGAGAGAGAGAGAGAAAGAGATGTCTCTCTACATTTGTTTTGTTTTTTGGGGCGAGGGAAATCATATTTGCTATTTTCGTTTCATTTCCATAATTTTATATATTTATTTTTTTACCCATCAAGAATAAATAAATAAAAATATAATAAAACAGTAAAATTTCATTTTTCACCACTCTACTCTCGTAGTATTTGTCACTTGCTTTATTTTTTTTTTAAACACTTTGATTCTTTACAATGTAATATCTAGTAACAGATGTGTCATCACAGTGATAATCACACTACATAATAGTTAACGCTTGACAGGTATTTAGTTCTAATTATATCACACAATTTCCTCAATTTAAAGTGTTATATGTCCTAACTCTCAACATTCATTGGATCTCATACTGTTGGAAAAAATCCCACTTCCTGTGATAATGAAAATCACAAACCCCGACACGGTCCACAAATACGAGATAATACAATAGCACAAAATAACTAACAATGCAAGGGACACCAGATTTACGTGGAAAACCCCAAAACTACGGGGAAAAACCACGGACCACCACAACCAAAGTTTCCACTATCACAAATCTTGGGTACAAAGTTTCTAGCTACCACCTCCAAAAAGTATTGATGAATAAAACACCCAAGAGCTTCGGCAAACCTCACGACAAATCCATCAAACGTGTGACAAAATCCGTCGAACACGCTGCCGTCGTGCCGCTGAAAGTAGTGGAGAATGTCCTCACAAGACCGGCCAAGGAGACAAAAAAAGAAGCAAAAGAAACTTGGCTTTGTTTCACTGCTCTCTACTGTCTTGCACTACTGCCGAATCAATATCATGTGTGTGTAGTCTAGTGGCCATCTTGCATCCAAAATCCCTAAGCATTTTTATAGGAAATGAAGTACATGAAAGGTCACTAGATGCCAAAAGTCTCTTTGTTTCCAACCCTTCATAATCCCTTATTATTATTATACATTAATAATAATAATAATTAGGACTCAATAAAACTATATAGTGGGTACAAAAATACTTGGTCCAAACATGAGCTATTTTCCACATAGGAGGGAATCTCAACCCAACAAACTCCCCCTCCCGACTATGTGGAAGATATGGCAATCCCAGCGATACAACAACAAACCACTGCTGCCCTGCATAGGTAATCCAATAGCCTGAAGTAGATTTCTTGATATCAATGTTTCCTTCCATATCTGAATTAGTGTACTCAGTAACAATATGTTTCCTGTACACAAAAACAAACTCAGACTTGAAGTACCCTGAAGATATCTCAGAACCCACTGCACAGCATCACAATGTTCTCTCCCTGGATTTGAGAGAAATCTGCAAACAACACCTACTGCATGAGCAATATCCGGTCTCGTACATACCATGTCAAATATGCCCAATCAACAACCAGGGCTCTGATACCACTTTGTTGGAAAAAATCCCACTTCCTGTGACAATGAAAATCACAAACCCCGACACGGTCCACAAATACGAGATAACACAATAGCACAAAATAACTAACAATGTAAGGGACACCAGATTTACGTGGAAAACCCCAAAACCACGGGGAAAAACCACGGACCACCACAACCAAAGTTTCCACTATCACAAATCTTGGGTACAAAGTTTCTGGCTACCACCTCCAAAAAGTATTGATGAATAAAACACCCAAGAGCTTCGGCAAACCTCACGACAAATCCATCAAACGTGTGACAAAACCCGTCGAACACGCTGCCGTCGTGCCGCTAAAAGTAGTGGAGAATGTCCTCACAAGACCGGCCAAGGAGACAAAAAAAGAAGCAAAAGAAACTTGGCTTTGTTTCACTGCTCTCTACTGTCTTGCACTACTGCCGAATCAATATCATGTGTGTGTAGTCTAGTGGCCATCTTGCATCCAAAATCCCTAAGCATTTTTATAGGAAATGAAGTACATGAAAGGTCACAAGATGCCAAAAGTCTCTTTGTTTCCAACCCTTCATAATCCCTTATTATTATTATACATTAATAATAATAATAATTAGGACTCAATAAAACTATATAGTGGGTACAAAAATACTTGGTCCAAACATGAGCTATTTTCCACATAGGAGGGAATCTCAACCCAACACATACGGTCCCTCTAATTTCTTAAAAAGTAATATTATTCATCCCTACAAAATTTCTACCTAATTTTACCTCCTGATTATTCAGGACATCCAATGATTATAAGTCATGTTATTAGGAGGGAAAATTATAAGGGGTAAAAAGTATTTTCGTTTCTTAAATTATATGAAATTCTTGAACTAGAATATTACATTATTTGAACTAAACACTCATACTCTTCCCTACTCATTAATTTAACTTGTATTAGATGATCAAGTGATTGTTGTTGTTGTTGGCATCCTTTTATGGCCCTGTTTGGTAAAATGACTGTTAGTTAATAGATGTTTGCTGTTAGCTGATTGTGTTAATTAGAGGGTATAAATAGTTGATAACATTAGCTGATTGTAGAAAAGTGTTTGGTAAATTAGCTGTTAGCTGATAGCTGTTTAGTATAATTTCTTTTCTCAAAAAGCTACTTGGAGTAGCTTTTTTGAATTTTAGCCTTTTGGAGTTGCAAAAAGCTAATTAACCAAACATTTATATTGGTATTTTAACTAAATCAAACAATTAATAATAATCAAATAAGCTAAAATTGACCTATAGGCCAATTTTTTTACCAAACAGGGCCTATATATTCCTCTCAATAAATTTCTTACAATCCGCCAAGAGGGGCGGCTCACCCTTCTCATTTCTCTTCACACAATAAATTTTTTATATTCATTATACATTTGTGATTTAATCGTTCACATAAAAAGAATTCTTAAATAAAATTATATAGACATTCTTATATAACATTTTATGTAAAATTAAATAAAAAATTACTCTTTTTTTTTTTTGTGAGGATAAAAGAAAAATCTTCAATCTAACATTTTGAAATGAGTAGTTGTCATATATTTATTGGTTCTTACTAACATAATCATCAATACAAACACTTAGAATGTTAACATACATTTACTATGTACTTTGTTAAAGTTATTATACATCAAAGATGAAAAATGCAAATTTACCAAACACAGTAAATTTATGATATTGTACGTAATGAGTGACATTATTGTATCATATGTGTGTGTTTATGGCCCTGTTTGGTAAAATGGCTGTTAGCTAATAGCTGTTTGCTGTTAGCTGATTGTGTTAATTAGAGGGTATAAATAGTTGATAACATTAGCTGATTGTAGAAAAGTGTTTGGTAAATTAGCTGTTAGCTGATAGCTGTTTGGTATAATTTCTTTTCTCAAAAAGCTAATTGAAAAAGTTACTTGGAGTAGCTTTTTTGACTTTTAGCCTTTTGGAGTTGCAAAAAGCTAATTAACCAAACATTTATATTGGTATTTTAACTAAATCAAACAATTAATAGTGGTCAAATAAGCTAAAATTGACCTATAGGCCAATTTTTTACCAAACAGGGCCTATATCTTAGCATAATGTGCCAAAGACTTTGTGGTTTACTGGCACTAAATTACTCCTCTATATGAGATGTTGTAGATTTAAATCTCAGTGTAGTCAAATTATTATTGACCCAAATCCTTATGCCTGGACCAGGGTTTTTGTGTCTTAGTGTTATAAAACTCTATACTAGTAAGAATTCTATACGTCGTCGTTTCAATTCAGGGTCCATACTAGTAAGAATTCTATACCTCGTCATTTCAATTCAGGATTCATAATACTATGTGGATCCTAATCCATGATATAAATTTCCGTGTTTGTGGGTTGAAGGTTGATATGATGTGTTATGCCCCCTCACATTACACAAAAGCCCCACCCAGGCACCCACTCCCCAAGTCCCACCTCCACCAACCCACCCACCCCACCCCCATCAAACCCTCTCTGATCTTCATCAAATGCTAAAAACCCCACCCTCACAAAATGTCTACAAAAATGCTTTTTCTTGGAAGCAAAATGGGGCCACCACATAGTGGAGCCTTTCCCTTGCCATTCAGCCTTCACGTTGTGTTGTCACAGTGCAGCCTGAAAAAGATTGAAGCTGCTTAAAGGTGGCTTTGGCCTTTCAGACTCTCAAAATTATTGCCCTTTTTTTCTTCTTGCTTCCTATGCAAGAACTAAGAAGCTAGCTAGTAGGGTTTATTTTATCCTTATATCTTCTTTCTCTTTTTTCCCTTTTGTTTTGCCTTTTCTCTCTTATCCCCTCTTTCATTCCTTTATTTCGTTTGTTTTATTGGGACCATCATAAAGTATGAGGGTTAAATTCACCTATTTGGGCAACCTTATTTCAATCAATTCTTCACCAATATAATGTCTCCCTTCACAAGTTTTGAAGTCGAGATCTTACTTCAAAATTAATTATTTTTTTTTAAAACTTAGACCACACGTTATTAGTAAAATAATTAGGAATTGTCATTTGGTTAATTTTGAATAGAAATAATTAAATTTTTATTTTAGTCTAACCGCTTACTAAAATAAAATACAATTTGCTAAATTAATCAAATTGAATTATATTTCAGATAATTCAATTAATCAATTGAATAAATCAAAATTTTATTATTTTATTATATAATATATTTTATATTATATAATAAATTATAATATAAATATAATATAAATGGCTCAGATGACATGTAATGACTTTCCTTATGCGAGGTCATGAGATGGAGGTTCAGTGTAGGTGTTGACTCTTTGTGCTTCAACAGGTTGAAAAAATATAGATAAACAGATATTACAATTTAATAGAGTCAATAGCTTTTAAAAAATTATAAATTTTGTTCATGTATATTATTTTATTTTTATTTAAGTCAAAATACACGGTGCTCATACATAACTAATCTTTAATATTTAAAAGTTATAATTATAGCTGTCAATGTGGGGCCGAATCGGTATGATGTGCATCCGTATGCACCAAGCATGGTGCATCCGGATGCAAAAATGACGTCGTTTTGACGTTTAACTTAAAAAAAAGAAAAGAAGAAAAGGAATAAGGGTCAAATAGGCCATCGAACTGCACACGATAAA